ATCATGGTTTGGAGTGGAGCGAAATACTCTCTCCCTCCTCAGTTCTGATTCACTGGCTTCATGTCAGAGGAGGCTCCCGAAGGAATCCTGGTAATGGATCATTATGGGTATCCGAATAGTGGCTTTTACAAAGCTTCTTTTACAGCCACTCTGCAACGCACCGCGTTTCATAAGTAAGAGGACGTTTAATGTCTATAGTGGTTGCGACAGCTTTGTAGTTCTGAGAAAATAAATAATACTTTGCAATTTTTAGAGAGCAGCGTCTCCTCTTCCAAGAACCACAGAGCTCTTTACACAAACTAATGAGGCCCCAAAACATCTCTAAGACTGGGCCAGACATACCATAACACTCGTTCCCTGAGGCTCAGACAGAGTCATACACACACACAGAGAGAGAGAGAGAGAGAGAGAGAGAGAGAGAGAGAGAGAGAGAGAGAAATTCCAGCACAGACTACAGGGCAACGTGCAAACTGAATTCAAGGGGTCTGGCAATCCAACTAAACCCTCTAAATTCTGTGACTGGAATAAATGTCTGCCTGTTCAGCAGATTAGCATATATTTCATTTGAATGCTATATATATATATAGCATATATATATGGGGGGGTGTAGAATGCCACTTCTGGACAGAAAGGTGGGTGTAGAAAGTTGAAACTCAATGGCAGGTTATACAGGAGAGGTGCGAAGGTCTGGAAACCATAAGGAGGGACTTAGACACTTGGGTGAACTTAACTGGGTGACCATGAATCTTACCGGGTGTCTGTGAGGCACTCCCTCGCAGCCTTGCCTGCCTCTTGAGGTTGTGGTGATGAGGATGAAATGGGGACAGGGAAAACCCAAGACCACGGATAACTGGGTCTGCGACTGCAGGCATTGGGACAGAGGATCCAATCCACGCACACTGTACTGTGACCAGAAAATCCTTTGAGTTTATTTACAACACATACACACACACACTTGTCAAACTAAACATGAAAATAATAGGACAGAATCAAAACAAAAACAAACAACAACAAAACACACACACAAATACAAATAAGACATGATAACGTACAAAAACTTACACAAAACAAATAATAATATATAGGTACCATATTTCAGTTCTTCTTTTCTTCTAATTGACTTCCTTCATCCTCAATACGGTTCTTTTTTCGTTTTTTGGTAAACTGTCTCCTTTTTAGTTCATTATTACCTCCTTTTTCTTTCTGTTTTTAACTTAAGTACCATAAATTATTCTGCGGAAGTTCATCGAAACAGGTCCAAGTATTAATTTGAGGGCACCGCTTTTTAAGATGTTCTCTATATTTTACCTATTCTTTTTGGAATTTTTGCTTGGTTTGACCCCTAATTGCCTCTGTCAATCTAGCCAATTCAATATTGTGATCAGAAAATCCTATTGGGATGTACATGGCTAGAAGTAAGCCCCAGCATCAGGAACGAGAGCCCCCCCCCAAAAAAGTTGGCCTACATTTGCATCTGCGCCTTTTTGCATCTGGAAATCTGTGCCGTCCCCCAAGTCTTTTAAGTCCCTTGCAACACCCTGGTAGTGGATAAACTTGTAGTGCCAGTCTCTGCATTTTGGGATTGCCATGAAGTACGTTGTGGTTTGTTTATGTAGCATTTTTTGGCCCAAAGGCCAAGGCAATGAGCAGCTTTTTAATGCAGCAAAACACGTCATAGAACTTGCAATTGTGTGTGTGCTTCTTTCCCAACTCAGTCCAAAGTGCTGGTTTTGATGTACATAAAACCCTGCACAACTTGTGACCTGGGATACCTAAAATACTGTCTCACCCTGTATAAACCCATATTATATTAATGAGCTGAATACACCGAAAGATTTACAAGTCATGGAGGTGTGAAGAGTGTGAAGTTTTTGTTTTGGTTGCTATTTTGTTAATGTCGATATTGTTTTATACATTATAAACGCTGAATTGATTTCTTAATAATATAATTTGACTTTTGCTTTAATTGGGTTTTTTTTTTAGTTGCTCCTTTGTTAACAGTTTCTTTATAGATCGTAATTATTTCACTAATGGCTTGTTAATTATCCCGTATGACCTATGCTGTTTTTGTGATGCTTGTATCATGTTGTTGTTGTTTATCATTTGCAAGCCACTTTGGGATTCATTTTGAATGAAAAGCGGCGGCGAAGTACCGTATTTTTCGCCCCATAGGGCGCACCTAGTTTTTGGGGGGGGAAATAAAGGAAAAAAATTATTTCCACCCCAGGCCCGAGCTTCCCCCGACCCCAGCCCCCAGAACAGGCTGCTCTCCGCAAGCCATGGGAGCCCTCCCACAGCTTGCGCAGAGCTACCGGAAGCCCGGGGCGCGACTGCGCAGCGCGCCCAAGCTTCGGGATAGAGGCAGCTCTCTGCAAGCCGTGGGAGCCTGGCAGGAACTCCTGCGGGCTCCCAAGGCTTGCGGATAGCTTCCTGAAGCCTGGAGAGCGAGAGGGGTCGGTGCGCACCAACCCCTCTCGCTCTCCAGGCTTCAGCGAAAGCCTGCATTCGCCCCATAGGACGCACACACATTTCCCCTTCATTTTTGGAGGGGAAAAAGTGCGTCCTATAGGGTGAAAAATACGGTATATAAATCAAATCAAATCAACTAATCCCTGTTCTGTTCAGCAGTGGGGCTCCGGCAGATGCAGCCTCAACTTTCAACAAGCCTTTAAAAGTAGATATCCTTCCCAATCTACATCTGTATGGGAACTGAGGGGTTCCTTCTTAGGTGTTTTGATATGTTTTATTGATTGCGTGTTTGCTGCCCATTGGGAAGAAGGATGGGATCACAGAATCATAGATTGTAGAGTTGGGAGGGACTACAGGGGTCATTTAGTTCAATTCTCTGCAATGTGGGAATCTTTTGCCCAACATGCTGCTTGAACCCACAACTCTGAGATTATGAGTCTCATGCTCTAGTGCAGGCATAGGCAAACTCGACCCTCCAGATGTTTTGGGACTACATCTCCCATGATCCCTAGCTAACAGGACCAGTGGTCAGGGATGATGGGAATTGTAGTCCCAAAACATCTGAAGGGCCGAGTTTGCCTATGCCTCCTCTAGTGACTGAGCTATTTATAAAATTAATAAATGATCAACTAAAGGTCACGTGACAGTGAACACTTGACTGATGGAGCATCTAAAATTATTAGTTTGCTGGAGCTGCATTTTCCTCTTTCTTGGTGCTGAAACTCTAGCACAGAGGTCCAGTTCTCCCCATTCGGTGAGCTGTGATTCAGAGGACTAGCTGAAAGATCCAAAAGGCATGGTCCTCTTTGGTTTTAGCGAAGTACCATGATGGTGCTGTGCAAATAATATTCTTGGGTGAATTCCAAAAGAGTAGCCTTTTTGGATGCATAGAAGGCGATGATACTAAACCGTTTTGGTGCAACGCCTTTTTCATGTGCGGATAGTTGCATAACAACGAGGCTGATTGTGTTGAGCAGTGTGAGATTCCTCCCCAAGTCACAGTAAGTTTATTTTGTTCCAGCAGCTCAAAGGAAGTTGGAATGGATGATTCATTCAAGCCAGCGTTTGAGTCTGTTACAAGGACATCGTAAGAGCCTGGGAGCGCCAGCATCCTGCCTCTTATGAGCTTTAAGTGTCACTGGCTCCTCTTTTTGAATTAATGACTGTCTTATTTCTCCCCTTCCTTTTTCTGCCAGGGTTATCACCCGTTGCCACACGAAGCTGAAATCGCACACACCAAAAAATTGTTCAGGAGGAGGAGGAATGACCGGAGGTAGGGAGAATGCTTTTTGAACGGGCGATGCTTTTTGTGTGTTTATTATCTACATAAAGAACGAAAATCCTGCACACATTAAAATCACAGGTGTTCGCTGAGATTTCAATCTGCAGGGAGCAACCCAAAGATGGAAGTCCTGGAGGGTTGTGAGTGGCATGTATTCAACATGTTTTCTTGTGCCTAAGGTCTTTTTTCGGATGGGTAAGGTGTGGTACATGGTCAAGCAAAGGGAAAGACGAGTTATTCGCCTGGTTTTCACATCGTGAAAGTACTGTTTTTGGGGGACGGGGTGGGCTGGTGTGGAGGACTCCCTGGTCCTGAATGGGGTAACTGTGCCCCTGAAGGACCGGGTGCGCAGCCTGGGAGTCATTTTGGACTCATAGCTGTCCATGGAGGCGCAAGTCAATTCTGTATCCAGGGCAGCTGTCTATCAGCTCCACCTGGTATGCAGGCTGAGACCCTACCTGCCCACGGACTGTCTCACCAGAGTGGTGCATGCTCTAGTTATCTCCTGCTTGGACTACTGAAATGCGCTCTATGTGGGGCTACCTTTGAAGGTGACCCGGAAACTACAACTAATCCAGAATGTGGTAGCTAGACTGGTGACTGGGGGCGGTCTCTGAGACCACATAACACTGGTCTTGAAAGACCTACATTGGCTCCCAGTACGTTTCCGAGTACAATTCAGAGTGTTGGTGTTGACCTTTAAAGCCCTAAACAGCCTCAGCCCAGTATACCTGAAGGAGCATCTCCACCCCCATCGTTCTGCCCGGATGCTGAGGTCCAGTGCCGAGGGCCTTCTGGCGGTTCCCTCATTGCGAGAAGCAAAGCTACAGGGATCAGGCAGAGGGCCTTTTCGGTGGTGGCGCCTGCCCTGTGGAACGCCCTCCCATCAGATGTCAAAGAGATAAACAACTACCTGACATTCAGAAGACATCTGAAGGCAGCCCTGTTCAGGGAAGTTTTTAATGTGTGACGTCTTAGTGTATTTTTGGTCTTTGTGGAAGCCGCCCAGAGTGGCTAGGGAAACCCAGCCAGATGGGTGGGGTACAAATAAATTATTATTATTATTATTATTATTATTATTATTATTATCATCATTATCGTGATAAGCCAGAGCATGGCTTTGGTACAAATGCATGAGCAGCTTGTGATTTGCCTGGAGCAAGGCAAACTGTGAGCCTGGGTTCAAATGGCACAGAAGAATTGTAGAGTTGGAAAGGGCGACAAGGGTCATCCAGTCCAACCCCCTTTTTGCCCAGCTTGAGGTTCGAACCCACAATCCTGAAATTAAGAGTCTCATGTTCTACCAACTGAACTTTTCCAGGTGTTCATTCCAATGCATGGTTTAACAAAGTGCAGCAAAACAAGTGGAGTCGGGCAGATGATGATGATGATGATTATTATTATTATTATTATTATTTATTTCATTTCTATACCGCTTTGTATTTTTAAGAAAAAATTCAAAGTGATTTACAGAATATTAAAACATCAATAAACCAATCTGAAGAAAGTCAAATATAGAGTATACAGTCAAAGCAACATAATTAACAGAAAACTAAAATATGACCTTAAAAGTTTCAAAATAAAACATTACAAAGGAGGTCAACTACAGAATACATATTTAACATAAAGTTAACTAAAAAATCTTAAAACATTTCAAAAGAAAACATTGCTAAGTGAAGTCAAATATAAAATGCACATTTAAAACAGCATAATTAACAAGAGAATAAAATATCATAAGCATGACATGGCTGTTTGGCAGGCACAAAAAGTTGGGGCAAAAGAATCCAATAATTCGGATTTGTTGTCAGGCATAGTAGCCACAGTCTCTTCTTCCCAGAGCTCACAGGCTTGCGTGTTCATGGTTTGGCTTAGCATGACATGCGAAGCAAGCCATTAAGTAGAACAGGACTGGATAAAGGAGTAAGGTAAAAGGTAAAGGGACCCCTGACCATTAGGTCCAGTCGTGACCGACCCTGGGGTTCCGGCGCTCATCTTGCTTTATTGGCTGAGGGAGCCGGCGTACAGCTTCTGGGTCATGTGGCCAGCATGACTAAGCTGCTTCTGGCGAACCAGAGCAGCGCACGGAAACGCCATTTACCTTCCCGCAAGAGCGGTACCTATTTGTCTACTTGCACTTTGATGTGCTTTTGAACTGCTAGGTTGGCAGGAGCAGGGACCGAGCAACGGGAGCTCACCCCGTCGCGGGGATTCGAATCGCCGACCTTCTGATCGGCAAGTCCTAGGCTCAGTGGTTTAACCCACACCGCCACCCGCGTCCCATTGGATAAAGGAGAGCGAGAGCCAAAGGATGAAGAGGAAATTGAAGGAGGGAAGCTCTGGCTTGAGGGCCAAAGGCGGTGAACAGATTGTCTGGAACAGCATTGGTATAAGACCCCCAAACAATATCAGGGTTGAAAGACCAGGCAACAGTAAAGAAAATTTGGGAAAGTTCAACTCCTTGTGTCTTTTCTGGGCCAGTAGACCTGCAAGGAGTGTTGGAGACCATGTAGGAAAAGGGGGGGGGGCATTTTGTCTTAATCGGGGAACCTTTGACCCTCCCGTTGTTGCTGGAGTCCCATCATCCTTGACCATTGGCCATGTGGGTTCATGAGAATCTCAGGTGACCCAATTATCAACAGAGGAAATGAACCAAGCGAGTCACCAGCAGCTTACAAAACGCTTCTGTTTTAAAAAAAAAAAACAGCAGCAAAACAGCACAAAAGCACACACTTTTGCTACTCCACGGGTTTCAGTGGAAAGTAGGGCGCCATTTTCTCAGGATGTGAAGTTAATTAAACATCTTTAAAAACCAAACCAAACCAAAATCCCGCTAGTGCCACTTGATCATTTAAGTGTAAAGCCAAGCTAACAGTAGGAAGCCCACCTGACCAACACTGTAACTGGAAAGTTAGGGACATGTTTGTAATCCCGTTATTTAACAAAGGAACGTCGCTCAGGGCTGTTTTGAACTCAGTAAGATCCGCAATGGGGAACCTGTGGCCCTCCAGATGTTGTTTTTCTCCCATTTTTGTTCTGTTTTGTTTCTAAAGTTTGGAGGGCTTGTTTTCTAATTCATTGATTTAAGCTGCAAAGTGTAAACACTTACTTAGGCATAACTCCATGGGGCTTCTGAGGAAACATGCACAGGATTGTACCACATGGAACTCAAGGTTCAGAAGTTCCAGCTGGTGCAGATTAGACTGCTCATGGGGTGAGATTGCTGGCAGCATGCGACACTTCGCCTGTAACATGTGTGCTGGCTACCTATATGCTACTAGTGGGTCAGGCTCAAGGTTTTTGTGTTGATATGCAAAGCCCTGGACAAGCACTTGAACACAACCAGTTCAGGACATTTCATCTTCCTGCTCTTAGTAAGCAAATGGGACAGGATAGTGGCCCAGTATCACCTCAGATCACACGAGCATCAAACTAAAGTTTATATAGGGTGCTCTGAAGCCTTTTGTAGCTGCGAGACACTTGACTGCCTTCAGTACTCCTTTAGGTAGTGATCTATCACAAGGATGAAAACCAGATATCGGCCAGTCTTAATAGTGACTTTAAGAGACACAACACAAAAGGAAAAAAGGAATAGGGTGAGAAAGAGGAAAATAAGTGTATTCAGGTAGTTCATTATAGGTGAACTTGGCTTGTTTTTGTTCTTATTATGTATTTTGTGGTTTATTTATCGTGTATTTTTATGCTGCGAACCACCCTGAGATCTACAGATGGAGCATGGTATAATAATAATAATAATAATAATAATAGGTGTTTTCATACCTCCAGTCAGTATATCCAGTATTTCATATTGTTACACAGCAAACTGTATTTTTCGCTTCATAAGACGCACCTGACCATAAGACGCACCTAGTTTTTAGAGGGGGAAAGCAAGAAAAAATATATTCTGTGCAGAGCATGTAAGCGGCTCTCGCTTTTCTTGCTTTAAACCCTTCCGTCCCTCCTCCTGCCTCACTGAGAAGCCAGCAGAGCAAGATAGCTGCGCAGCACCTCTTCTGCTGGCTTCCCAGCAGTGCGGGATGAGGGACGAAAGGGAGCCCTTACAAGGGAGCGCTGAGCAGAGCCTGACAGCGGCTCTTGCTGGCTTTTCCGGGAGGTGTGGGAAGGGACAGAGGGCAGCCCGTCAGTCCCTTCTCCCACCTCGCGGCAAAGCCCCCAAGAGCCACGCTCCCTTTAAAGAGCCGCGTGGAGCGTGTGTGCTGCTCTTGGGAGCTTTTCCGTGAGGTGGGAGAAAGGACTGATGGGCTGCCCTTCTCCCTCCTCGGGAAAAAGCCCCCAAGAGCCGCACACACGCTTCACGCGGCTCTTTAAAGGGAGCGCTGAGCAGAGCCTCCCGCCTGCATTTGCTCCATAAGACGCACACACATTTCCCCTTGCTTTTTAGGAGGGGAAAAGTGCGTCTTATGGAGCGAAAAATATGGTAGTGACCAAAGGCAGTTCTGGGAGCCAAGGAGCTAGATGACAGTTTTCCCCGGTCAGGCCAGTGGAGAGTGCCTCACCATCTCATTCTTCCCTCAAATGCATCTGGGAGGAATTGCAGCTGGGGGCGCAGTCCTTGTAGTTAAGAGGGTGAACTGTGAGCAGAGAAACACTCCCCACCCCCCAAAAAGCTCACCTTTCCCCAAAACTCACTGTGTGGCCTTAGACAAGACACTCTCTCAATCTCAGCTTTTTCACCAGCAGCCTGGGTTACAAGGTTGTACCTGGAAAAGGGGGTACTGAGAAAATGTCCATTTAGTGAGTGAGCTCGTGAGGTGTTTGTAGTTATGAGATTCTGTCTGGCCTGATAAGGTGTAGAAAAATCACTTCGACATCTTTCCCTGGGATGTCGTGGGTGGAGTGGCAATCTGCCCAGGTTTCATTCCTCCTTGCTTTCATTGCTAGAAGAAGAAAAGCCCCAAGTGGAAGAGAAGGAGATGACAGATTGTGGCAACATGTTTAGTGGCTGTTCCTTTCTGAAAGTAGCTGCTTGCCTTGCACAAATTTTCTTGACTCTCATTTTCCCCTCGCCAGCCCATTCCGTCGTAACATGGCTGCCTTTCTACCAGAAGGTTGCATTATTTTAGTGATGCTCCCTAATTCCATAGCATCCCAGTTTTATGTTCCACTTCATGCAGAACCACGTACCCGCTAAACACTTACATGGTTGAATAATAAATAATAATAATTTTATTATTTGTACCCCGCCCATCTTGACTGGGTTGCCCCAGCCAGCCGGGGTGGCTTCCAGCATATAGAAAAACATAATAAAAAATTAAACATTAACTGCTCCCCTATAAAAGGCTGCCTTCGGATGCCTTGTAAAGGTTTTATAGTTACTTATCACCTTAATATCTGAAGGGCGGGTGTTCCACAGGGTGGGCGTCTTTACCGAGAAGGCCCTTTGCCTGGTTCCCTGTAACCTCACTTCTCACAGTGAGGGAACCACCAGAAGGCCCTTGGAGCTGGACCTCAGTGTCTGGGCTGGACGATGGGGGTGGAGACGCTCCTTCGGGTATACTGGGCCAAGGCCATTTAGGGCTTTAAAGGTCAACACCATGGGTAGGCAAACTAAGGCCTGGGGGCCGGATCTGGCCCAATCGCCTACTAAATCTGGCTCGCAGACGGTCCGGGAATCAGCATGTTTTTACATGAGTAAATGCATCTCTGGGTTATTTGTGGGGCATAGGAATTTGTTCATTTCCCCCCAAATATATAGTCCAGCCCCTCCGTAAGGTCTGAGGGACAGTGGACCGGCCCCCTGCTGAAAAAGTTTGCTGACCCCTGGTCAACACCAACACTTTGAATTGTGCTCGGAAATGTACTGGGAGCCAATGTAGGTCTTTCAGGACCAGTGTTATATGGTTCCGGCAGCCACTCCCAGTCACCAGTCTGGCTGCCGCATTCTGGATTAGTTGTAGTTTCCGGGTCACCTTCAAAGGTAGCCCCACGTAGAGCACATCACAGCAGTCTGAGCGAGAGATAACCAGAGCATGTACCACTCTGGCGAGACAGTGCACAGGCAAGTAGGATCTCAGCTGGCACACCAGATGGAACTGGTAGACAGCTGCCCTGGACACAGAATTAACCTGCGCCTCTATGGACAGTTGTGAGTCCAAATTGAAAACTGCTGTAAGCCCCTCCTCTCACCCACTGGCTGAGCTGCTGTGATGTCATAGAATGTTCACGAGTATTCTAACAGCAGAGATGGGTCAGTCATAAAATCCTGTGAATCATTACTCCAATGGTTGTAAGGAAAGCAGAAGGCAGATTGTCTGAAGGGAAATTTTCAAAAGGCAAGTGAAGAAATGTGCTCTCCTGGGGAAAGG